GGTTGGTGAAGTAGCTTTTGGAAATCAAAAATCCAAGATGGCCGACAATCCAAAAATGGAAAAATACTATAAATCGGTCAATTTTAGTGAGATTGAGCTGAAACTTGGTGTGGGGATAGCTGAGAATGTTTCCTATCAATTGCTATATAAAAATCAAAAATCCAAGATGGCCACCAAAGCTAGTTTCAAATTGCTTTAACTCAGCCATTTTTATACATAGAGAACTGAAATTTGGTGAGGTTGTAGCTGAGAACATGCTCTATCATATACAGAATCCAAATAAAAAATCCATGATGGCCGACAATGCAAAAATGGAAAAATACTATAAAATCGGTCAATTTTAGTGATATTGAGCTGAAACTTGGTGTGGGGATAGTCACCGGAAGCTCAAAGAGCTGGTTCAAAGACAGAACGTCTGCTGATCTTTTGTCCCTGCACGGATTAGAATTTGACATTTTGAAGTTATTAAACATCTCCATCCTCCTTTGTGCTGCTGACAAGAACACACTGACCCACCGTCACATTTCAACATCCGATGCAAATAGATTATTTTTAGTGGCATCACATGCTGTATTTACGTGTTGGTCCATGATGTCTCAGTTCTCTGGGAATGGACGACAACTGGGCTGAGAGGATTGTCAGCTGAGTGTTTTGGTGTGTTTTGTTTTGCAGGTTAGATATTGACACCAGGCGGGCAATGGAGAGCCTCACAGAGAACATGACGGCTTCCCAGAGACAGGACTCAGTGAGTTGGAGCTCATATTTCTCTGCCAGCACAGTAGTCCCTCATTTATCGCAGGGGATCCGTACCCTGAAGACCAGTGATAAGTGAAAAACCACGAAGTAGAAATAGTAGTACAAGTAGTAAGTACCGGTAGTAGTTTATTAAGGCGTTTTAAACCCTTCCCACTCTCTTGCAATATTCTAAACAATGTTTCTAAACCCTAAATGCTCTAAAAGAGAGAATGTCGTGATTTCAGCTCTGCCTCGTCTGCTCTTTGCCACCTGCAAGCACTCTTGGCCACGCCCACTTCTCAGCTGTACGCAGAACAGCTGATCATGCACGGAGATCAGCTGCAGCAGGAAGTTAATTCTTCAGTATGGGCTTCACAAAGATGCAGGATGAACCTTTTACTGCAGCTCTGGGTTGCACACATGTGCAGCAGGTGCTAAATAATTTAAAATCATTTATTTTAAATAAAAATTCCATGCCAGTCGTGTGGCTCATCCATCAATCAGTCAATTGTGTGTCATGTCCAATCTTATTTTGAAAAACCGTGATAGAGCGAGTCCATGATAAGCGAACCGCGAAGTAGCGAGGGACTACTGTATAACAAATGATTTCCTAGTATATAAAAATATTTAATAAAATGTTGAATCAGCCTAAACTTTGTATAGTTAAAGGGATATTTTATATATTTCCAAGTGCGGTTCTATAGAAATGCAATGAACAGTTAACTGTGTTTCATCAGCATAACAATGAAAATGTATCCCATAATAATTTAGTTTAATAACTTGACCTAATGGAAACATATATAAAGTGAAGCGTATGAGCCAAGCACTGAACCCTGAGGAACTCCATGACTACCTTTGGTGTAGAAGATCATGATTTACATTTACAAAATGGAATTTGTCAGATAAATATGATTTAAACCATTTTAGAGCTGTTCCTGTAATTCCAGTATCATATTCAAGTCTCTGTAGTAGAATCTTGTGATCAGCTGTATCAAATGCAGCACTGAGGTCTAACAGGACCAGTGTAGACACCTGTCCTTTGTCAGAGGCCATGAGAATATCATTAGTAACTTTCACCAGTACAGATTCAGTGCTGTGGTGAGCTCTAAACCCTGACTGAAACTCTTCAAATAGATGTTGTAGATAGTTGTAGATTGAGGGTTGAGAGTATAATCTATTTTTTGAGTTTTGAAAAAGATTATTTTGCTTTGACAAGCCAGTATGAGCTCATCAGTTTGGTCAGAAAGGATTTTTTCAATCAATTTTTTCTGTTCATGCAAAATGTACTTTATAAACATTCAGTTTTTCACAACACACTTGTTTGTTAGAAACTTTATACTTCTGCAGAAAGTGACCTCAGGCTGCACCAGAAGAGTTACAACTAGATGCTGCCGTTAATAGTTGTGGTCGCATAATCATAGGAATCTACGTAAATAACTGTAACGCTAAATTGACAGCTGTGTTAAGATTTATAAAATAATCTTATTTGCATGATCTGTACATCAAAGTGGCTCAGTTGGTAGAGCAGCTGCCTCTCAGCGAGAAGGTCGCCGGTTCGAATCCTGGCCGGGAGCCTTTCTGGGTGGAGTTTGCATGTTCTCTCCGTGCATGCGTGGGTTTTCTCCGGGTACTCCAGTTTCCTCCCACAGACCAAAAACATGCATGTTAGACTGATTGGTAACTCTAAATCGTTCCTAGGTGTGAATGAGAGAGTGAATGATTGTTTGTCTCTATGTGTCCCTGTGATGGACTGGAGACCTGTCCAGGGTGTCCCCCACCTCTCACACACTGATTGCTGGACACGGACACCAGTGACCCCCTAGACACAAAATGGAAGAAGCGGGTAAAGATGATGGATGGTAATTGTTCATAAACTTTCCACAGAACTTCACCTTTAAATGTCTGAAATATATAATCAAACACTGATAGTTGAAACTTTCTACTTATGAACGAGACAAACTTTGTTTTCTGAATATAAACGCTTTGACAAAATGTGGAAATGGACAGAACTTTAAAGAATTAGCTGACAAAGATTTTACTTTACTTTCCAAACACACAACTCCTCGTTTCACCATCAGCACCGTGACAGATACGCCGCTCCAAATGACAGCTAATATGTTTAATATCTGTTATCTCGTCCTGTCGGTGGACGTGACGAGATAAAGGTATTAACTGTCCGTTCCAGGTGGACGTGCTGCTTCCTGATTAGACCGGGTGTCGTTGCGTAAGTAACGTATTACTTCCAGCCAGTCGTTGGAGATAGTTTCCGCCGCCCACGCCTTAATTTCCCGTCGTCTCATTAATCACATCCTGGCGCTGGCGATGTTTGCGTGACCCAAGGCACACTCATTCTTCTTCTGCTCGGTCTGCAGGTGTCGTCTCGTGTGGAGAGGCGTCTGCAGGAGCTGCAGCGAGAAGGAAGGCCGGAGCAGCGGGCGGCCGTGGCTGACGAGCTGCAGGAGGTGACCCTCGTTTTAAACGTTTTATTCTTTTTGTAACCACTCTGCCACCGTCCCATCATCACACACGGACGCTCAAAATATCTAAAGAATGCTCTTGAATCAAGAGCTTCATAAAAGCACACGGAGACGTAAGATAACAAAGCTGCAGCTGCACGAAGGACTGAAAGTCATTCTGTAGCTCAGAGAGAGAAGTCTTCGATTTGATGCCTGATGCCTCTGCTGGATGTAAGGGTAAAATCCCAGTCAATCTACATATGGAGCAGTTTTTCTGAAAGAAAACTATAATATCAGCAGCACTTTGCTCGACATTATAAAAAGACTTGGATCAGAGCAAAGTGATTTCTATAGGCTGTGTTGGTATTTATACAGTTTAATGATGCTCAATTTTCCAAGAACTCAGCAGCCGTTCCAGCTGCCAACCTGTTGCCGTTTCAAACGGAAGGATAATTACATTTTGAAATGACAGCTGAATTACTTGGTGATCTCTTTGGAGAAATTTCACCTCAACAAGAAGTCAAAGAAGCTGCCTGTCCTCAGCAGCTAACTATAATTAGTTTGATTAGAAATTTTCTACACAATTAGAAGCACTGATTTAGTTTAATTTGCTAATCAAGTGTTTTCCATTGAATACGCCTGATTACAATCATGCAACATGAGAAACAATCTAAATGTTTTATTTTTTCACCTAAAACCTCTTGCAGAACTGCATTACACTCAAGACTGACTCGTTGTAATGCTTGTAGAAGATTTAGCAAACAAAAGGACACCAGTCATGATGTTTGAGCTCAATTTAGTTGATTTCTTTATTCGGTTTGTATCATTCAGTACCACTCATTTAGTCTGATGGTGACACAACCTTTGGTTTTCACCTGGAGACAGTTCTGGTAGGTTGCTAAACTTTCTTCAGTATCTGTGTTTCTCCAACTGTTTTGCTTTCAACCCACAAACTTACTGTGGCTGAGATTTGTAATACTGAATATTAGTTTAAATTCATTTTTCAGTCCGGTCATCTGGACAGTTTTTTTTTGTGCTGAAACGTTTCGCCTTCGATCCAGAAGGCTTCATCAGCCAAGGAAACACGCAACAAAACGTTGGTTACGTACTGTAACCCCAGATTCTATGAATATAGGCGTAGCCCTTTAAGGCTGTCGCTGATGGGTTTATCCCGTTGTGCGCAAGCATCATACTGAAAAAAATTAGTCCACGCCCACCTGCTGTGTGGGCCCCACCCGATCCGTATAAATTACATTAAGAGCGGGTAATCTGCTCCCAAATAGCTTATTTTTTCATCAGCTATTCAGGAGCCAGTGAGGCCCGACGCTTAAAGGGCTACGCCTATATTCATAGAATCTGGGGTTACAGTACGTAACCAACGTTCTATGTCATATAGGCTTCGCCCTTTAAGGCTGTCGCTGATGGGTTAAGGGCGAAGCGGATGTGGTCCTCGCCTCACTGGGTCCATTCGAACACAGTAAGAAGCGGAAGCTTGCCCAAAAAACGTCTTGTCACTCAGCTCCCCGTGTGCATGACTACGCATCGCGTAATTATGTGCCATGCACAGACGCATGTTGTGTAACTATGCGTTCTGACAAAGCATGAACGCCCCGGAAAACTTTCAACGGGGAGAAGATGTTGAAAAGAAGGGGGGGGGGGGCATGAACCAACTGGTTCATGGCTGAACAGTATAAACAGATTAATATCAATGAACTGATTATTGATCAAATGAACTGATTGGTAACAATAGTCATGATCTGATTAGTGACAATAGAACCAAAAATCACAGACACAACTTGTGACTGATAACAACATCTCACACTGTGAAGCATGCAGACAGATGTGAGCTTAAACAGAGTTCCATGAAAAACAACAATATTCATTCTGTTAGAGCACTAAGGACAGAATGTGTCATGGAACGAGCCGTCACATCGCGTAGGTAAAAGCGAATAAATGAGCAGGGTGTTGACCATGCAGCTGCAGTGCAAATGTCCTGCATTGACATACCATTATGCAAGGCAGTCGAAGATGCGATACCCCTGGTCGAGTGTGCTTTGAGGTTGACCGGAGGCTCTACATCTGATGCTCCGTAGGCTTCAGAAATGGCCTCACACAGCCAGTGTGACAAGCGCTGGGTGGATAACGGGCGACCTGCAGATGCATCTCTATAATGCACAAACAAGTGTTGAGTTTGACGCATTACAGCTGTGCGCGCTATGTAACACGTCAACTCCCGCACCGGACAGAGAAGACGGAAAGATGCTTCTTCTTCTGATCTGTGGGGGGGAGGGAAAAAATCCCTCCAACGATATCACTTTGATTTAAAAGAGCTCCTGATGTTTTTAGGCATAAAAGCTGGTTTTGGTCTTAAATCAGCTGAACTACCGTCAGCTAGGATTCTGAGACATGACGGAGCGGCAGAGAGGGCAGATAAATCATTCACCCTCTTAGCGGATGTTAAAGCCAGCAGCAGGGCTGTTTTAAGAGACAAGAATTTAAGTGAAAACCTGATCCAAAAACTCAAATGGGGCTTTGATCAGGGCTCGCAGGACCAGCGTTAAATCCCACTGTGGAACAAGTGGGCGTGAAACAGGCCTACGTCTTTGTACACCTTTTAGAAACCGCTTCATCAGCGGGTGATTAAAAGTTGTTCTGTCTCCGAACCCTTCATGGCAGGAAGAGATGGCTGCAGCGTACGTTTTAATCGTGCTGAATGCCAACTTCCTGTCCATCAGCTGTTGTAGAAAAGACAGCACGCCGCCTAATGGGCATGAGGTGGCCTCTAAACCTTTCTCTGTACACCAGCGCTGAAAAGCCGTCCACTTTGATGTGTACAGAGCTGTGGTAGATGCAGCACGTGAATCTTGGATTGTGCGCACTACCTCCTGAGGGAGACCCATCCTCTCTAAGCGGGACCGCTCAGCGGCCAGACCCATAGGTGCTGACCTATTTCTGGGTAACTCCTGATCTCTCCTCCTGCTTGAAGGAGAGTGACCTCCCTCTACGGCAGTTTCCACGGACGACCCGACAACAGACGTTGCGGGACTGGGAACCATGGTGCGTTCACGCGCTCGGGAGCCACCAGAAGAGCTGTCAATCCCTCCTCCTGAACTCGGTTCCGGAACCGTAAAATCAGAGGAGGTGGGGGAAACGCGTACAGAAGCGTTTTGAGCCACGGGCTGTGAACAAATGCATCCGCCCCCAGCGGTGGATCGTCTCGCGGGCTCAGGGAAAACCATAGTTGACACTGAGCGTTCTCTCGTGTCGCAAACAGGTCCACAGCTGCTTTGCCAAACTTCTGCCACGTCTGAACCATCAGGACTGGATGGAGGGTCCAGTCCACGTGACGTGGACCGCCCCTGGACATTACATCTGCCCCTCTGTTCAGAACACCGGGTATGTAAACCGCTCTGATGGAGATCAGGTTTGGTGAGCCCAACACAGTAGCTTTCGCGCAATGTGTAACATCTGGGCTGAACGCACACCCCCCTGGCGGTTTATGTACGCAACAGTCACCATGTTGTCTGTGTGAATCAACACGTGTTGATTCTGTAGCACGGAAGCAAAGTGTTGAATCACATTCAGCACTATGCGACACTCCAAAACATTGATGTGGGCTGATGTGTGGTGGGGCCACAGCGCCCCTACTGCTTGAGATAGGCATGTCCCCCCCCCAACCTGACAGCGACGCGTCCGAGAAGACTGACACGTGTGACGTGGGTCTGCTGAACGGGAACTCCCTCTGACAGAACCAGGGTGTTTCCCCAGTGTCGGAGGTCTGCCCTCACAGAGGAAGGGACAGTGATCATCCGTCTTTTTTGTTTTACTGGATCCACACGCAGACGCGCAAACCACCTCTGGAGGCGTCTCATGTGTAACAAACCCAGCGGAACCACTGTGTGAGCTGATGACATCATTCCCAACAGCTTCATGACGGAGACAGCTGTTATCACTTTGCCAGGTCTCGTTTGTGATAAGCGAGCCTTCATGGTAGTTGAATGTAATTCCACTCCCAGATAAACAATTGTCTGGGCCGGGAAAATCGAGCTTTTCTTCCAATTTATGGCGAAGCTCAGATTTAACAGGTGTGATGCCAGCACCTGAGTCTGCATCAGCGCCTCCTGTGTGGAGTGTGACAGGAGCAGCAGGTCGTCCAGGTAAAACAAAATTCTCATCCCTGCTCTGTGCAGTGGATGCAGGGCTGTCTCCACACACTTTGAGAACGTACGAGGCGCGAGGGAACACCCGAAAGGCAGCCTGTTGTACTGATACTTCATCCCCTGAAAGGCGAAACGCAGAAATTTCCTGTGTTTTGGGATGATTGGTATGTGAAAATAAGCATCTTTTAGATTGATGGAAACAAACCAGTCGTTTCTCTGGATGTTGTCCAACAGCTGTCTGGTTGTCAGCATGTGAAACGGTCTGTCCATGATCGCTTTGTTGAAAAGCTGACAGATCCAGAATCGGTCTCATCCCTCCGGTCCGTTTGGGGACCAGGAAGTAGCGTGAGTAAAACCCTGTGTTTTCCTCTCCGTTGGGAACTCTGGAGATTACGCCTTTTATCAGAAGCTCCTGAACTTCTGCATTTAAGGCTGAGATTTGGTCTGGTGATGACAGGACCGTCTCCATAACTCCTCCGAACGGAGGGGGTCGGGTTGCAAATTGCAGCGTGTAACCCTTGCATAACACTCTGTCCATCCATCTGTCCGGCGAGCATGTTTTTAGCCACTCTGCGTAACGTTCGTGGAGTGGACGTGCGTTTAAGTGATACGCCGTGTTTTGAACGGATGTCATCCAATCCGCCGCCTCGACCGCCGTCATGCGTCGCGGAAATGTTTTCCGCGTGACCCAAGGCGAGGCTTCCTCGAAAAGGGCTGTTCTGCACGCGCCCGTGCGCTGCGTCTGGATCGCGGACCAACCTTCATGTCTGGGTGGGCCGAGGCGAAGCGTGTGCCAGCTGATGACGTCGTGAGGCTGCACGTTTAACGTCGCTGTGCGAACGTTGA